GAGCAGGGAGCCCGATGCGGGACTCGATCCCGGGACTCCAGGATCATGACCTGACCCGAAGGCAGTCGCTTAACCAACTGAGCCACCCAGGCGCCCCCATTAGCCCCGTTTTAGAGAGGAGGAGCCTGGGGGTTTGGAACCTAGAGAGAGTTGACAACCTACCTGAGTTTTTTGTTTGTTTGTTTGTTTTTTTCCCACCCTGGTATATCTCTTGGTGTTGGATGATCCAGAGAAGATTTCGGCATTACCATCCCCCCACCCCCACTTTTTTTTTTTTTTCCATCTAGTTTTGTTCTCCAAACCAAAAACTGGGCCATGCAGCCTGACAGAGCTTCTGGGCTGCCCCTGGGTGTGAGGAACTGCCAACATGTTAGAGTTTCTGGGACACGCCAGTGGTTCAAGACGATAAAGGGATGGAGGGTTATGAAACCAGGAATGACGTGGAAAATCGGAGCCGTGGGGTTGGTAGAGCTGAGCAGAAGGCGTATTGCATTTCAGGGAAGGCAGCAAGATAGGAGGGGGCAGGGAGGCGTGGGGCTTCGGGCACTTAAATCTGAGCTCCTCCCTAGCTATGTGACCCTGGACAAGTGTCTTCCCCTCTCTGAGCCTCCTTTTACCGATTGGGGTAAGGACACCTCTCTGCAGGGCTATTGGCACGCTTGCCACAAATATACATGAGGGGCTTGGACCAGAACTTGGTACACAGGGGGTGTTCAATCCCCAGTGACTTGAACTGTCGTTGTCAGGAGGGGGTGGATATTTGAGCTGCATCTGGATGGGGAGGTTTGCCAGGTGGAGGGTGGTGGCACGGGGCATTCTTGGCAGCCCCATGCCGAGGCTGCAGGGAGAAAATTGCAGGGAATGGTAAATTCTGGAAAGATAGGATGGGGGAGGCCAGACCACTTCTCTCCTTGAAAGCCAGGCCTGGGGGGTGGCCAGGACTCCTGTCCCTGGGCACCAGGGAGCCATAGGAGGGCTGGGAGCAGCTCTGGGTGTGGGGGCCTGGAGGCAGGGAGACCAGGGAGGAGGCTGGGGAGGAGGCTGGGGTAAGGAGTCCATAGGGAGAGGACAAGGCCTGACCAGTGCTAGGGCTGAAAGCCCAGAGGAGATGAGCAGAGACAGACTGACAGGGGTGTGGGGGCAGGGGAGACAGAGGGGTGAGGCCAGGCTGGGAGTCTGGCCTGGGACTGGCTCAAGGAGGTCGCCGTTCCGGGATGGGGACCGGGGGGTGGGTGCAGATTTGGGGCACAGACAGGCTGACTCCCCCTTCTAACCCGAGTGAGGGTGATTCTGTATAAGGTGCCTGAGCAACCTCTGCTCCCTGCTGTGACCTCTGCCCCGCCTCCACCCCTTCCCTCCTGCCCGCAGAACCCTCCAAAACCCCAAACTGTGAAAACTCGGAAGCCATAGCCCAATCCCTCAGCTCGGAGGTGGGAAAACTGAGGCAAAGAAGCAGAGTCACCCAGACAGGTCTGGTCGGGACTCCAGACATCCAGATTCAGGGTCTGGTTGGTGCTCCTTCCTTGCCTGGGGTCCCACCTCCCTCCGCCTGGCCCCCCTGACCCCTCTCCCCTGCCTGCAGGATCTCCACGGCTCCGTGCAGCGCGTCTGCCAATTCCTGGGTCGGCCGCTGGGTGAGGAGGCGCTGGGCTCCGTGGTGGCGCACTCAGCTTTCGGCGCTATGAAGGCCAACACCATGTCCAACTTCACGCTGCTGCCTCCCAGCCTGCTGGACCAGCGCCACGGTGCCTTCCTCCGGAAAGGTGCGGGGGCTCTGGGGTGCCACAGCCTGGCTGTGTGACCTGAGCGAGTCATGTAACCTCTCTGGGCCTCAGTTTTCCCGGCTGAAATATGGGGTTGCTCCAAACAGAACTGCCTTCCCAGCGTCACTGTGGACCCAGGACCGACCCCCCACACAGGGCTGAGCCTGGGGCCTGGCACACTCTGTGAGGCTCTATGGTGTCTTCGTGAATCTTTCTTTCTTTCTTTTTAAGATTTTATTTATTTATTCGTAAGAGACAGACAGAGAGAGAGAAAGAGAGGCAGAGGGAGAAGCAGGCTCCCCGCTGAGCAGGGAGCCCGATGTGGGACTCGATCCCAGGACCCTGGGATCATGACCTGAGCCAAAGGCAGACGCTTAACCTACTGAGCCACCCAGGCGCCCTTCGCGAATCTTTCTTAGCATGAAGTGTTCACCCCAGAAATATTCAAGTGTTGGATTACGGGGTGAGGGTGGGAGTGCGCTGCTTCCTATTCCTGCTAAAATACCACAAATTTAGCGGCTTCACACAAGCCACGTTTATTCTCTTACGGTTCTGGGGTCAGAAGTCCAAAATCAGTGTCACTAGGTTAAAACCAAAGTGTCCAAGGGATTGTTCCTTCTGAGGCTCTAGGGGGAGAATCCATTCTTTGCCTTTTCAGTCTCTAGCCCCATGTGCGTTGCTTGGCTCGTGGCCCCCATTCATCTTGAAAGCAGCAGCAGAGCATCTTCTGATCTCTGACTCTGACCCTCCCACCTCCTCTTATCAAGACCCTCGTGGCTAAATGGGGGCCACCAGGATAATCCAGGATCCTCTCCCCATCTCCAGGTCTTTAACAATGACACCTGCAAACTCCCTTTTGCCATGTAAGGTCACCTAGGCATAGGTTCCAAAGACTAGGACAGGTTGACATCTGGAGGGAGGGGGTGATTATTCAGCCTCCCACAGGGAGCTGTCCCAGATCTCACGAGGGGCGTCATGTAATATGTGGGGTGTACACTTGCTAAGATTCAAAATGCCACGATCCAAATGACATTGGCCCCAGGATTCCAGGTTAATGCCCCATGACAGTGAGAAACGTGAGGCTCGGCGGGATCCCCGCACCTGCCTGGGCACATGGAAGGGGCAGAGTTCACACCCCTTGCCTGCTCGGTTGCTGCGAGGGTTAAAGAGTGAACCCCACGACTCCAGGGTAGCCCTTCGGCCGGTCCCCTGGCACCGAGTGCGGGAAAGCATTCATTCACACTGTCAGAGCCATAATGGAGGTAGCGTGTTGCAGGAGCCCTGGGGTGAGGAAGCCCTGTTCCAGCCAGGGAGGTGAGGGACGGGTCACAGTGACACGGTCACACGGGCAGGAATGCTGGATGGGGAGGCGGATGTTCCAGGCAGAGAGATTTAAGGGGTCGGGGTAAAATAGAGGAAGGCAACAGGTCTACTGGAGGGACAGGTAGGATGGGGGGAGCCAAGGGAGGGAGGGCGCAAAAGGGTGCTCAGGGGTCTGGCCAGGTGACTGGGGACAGAGGCGGCCACCGTAGGAGGTAAAGGGGCAGCACGGAGACGAAGAGGGGTGGGGAGGTGCTTCTGGCAAAGGCCCGCAGGTGGGAAAGGGGGTGCTGGCATGTTGGGGGCGGGGAAGGTTCCCACGCTCCTCACCTCGCCGTCCCTCCCTCCCTTCCAGGCGTGTGCGGTGACTGGAAGAACCACTTCACGGTGGCGCAGAGCGAAGCCTTCGACCGTGTCTACCGCGAGCAGATGCGGGGGCTGCCCACCTTCCCCTGGGACGTCCCCGAGGACGCCAGCCCGGACCCCGATCCCAGCCCCAGCCCCCCCGAGGCCTCCGAGCCCCCCAACCCGTGACTCTGAGAATAAACGCTGCGCTCCTGCCCCGGCTCTCGCTGCGTTCTGGAGGTGGCTTGCCGCGGGCGGCCGGCAGGGGGCGCGCGAGGGAGGCGGAGGCTGGGGTGGGGACGCGCCGCGCACCCAGGGCCCCCGGAGAAGACGAGGTCTTCTTCCCCACCCCGCACGCCAGTGGGGTCGGTGACTCAGAAGCCCCTGCCGGAGGCGAAGGTGCTGCGGGAAGGCAAGCGCTGAGCACCTGCCTCCCCTCAGGGCCGGGGCGCTGCGGCGAGGCCCTCCTGGGTGTGAGGGAGGAGGGGGCCAGAACTGCATTCCTGGGTCTTCTGCTAGGCTGTGGAACTGCAAGGTTCTGGCATCAAGCAGCTTTATTCTGAGCAGAGGTAAAGGAAGACCCCAGCAACTCAGCGCTTAGCACCCGCAAAACAGTCCCAGCCCCCCTGGCCCTGACCCCCACCAATTTCCAGGCCCTCATTATTCAGCCCCACTCCCTTGATTGGATTCTGTCCTCTCCCTTGCCAAGCTGTTTCCCCACAGCTCCTGAGCGTGGTGGGTACCGGAAGCTGCCCCACTTTGTCCCACGGACTCCCCACCTTCACCCCACACAATTCCAGCACCCGGGCCATTCAGCCAGGCCAGTCCGCAGAGAAGTAGGATATGCTGTTCTAGGATCCCAGCTACTCGAGACTTTCTGCCCATTTCCTAAACTGTGACACTGGCCTCTAGAGTGAGCACTGGGCTTGCCCAGGTTCTAGAACAAAGAGAAAAAAATCCCTTCCGATTTCCAGACAGATACCCAGGCCAGAAGCCTTGTCCACGCCTCGACTCGGAGGCAGGGGGCTTGGAGCTGCCGGTCGAGAGGCCGGCCCCATGCAGCTTTGGCTCCTGTCACGGTCGCCCCTTGAGTCCTGCCTGGGCGGCCCGGTCTGGCTGCTGGAAGCCTCGGGGTCCCAGGAGTTTGGAGGCAGCATCTTCACCAAACCTCCTTCTGGTCAGGGACAGATAGCGGAGGCGGCGTGCAGGGAGGAGGGGCAGGGGGCCGCCCCGGGGCTGGGACCGGCCCAGAGGACGGGCTTCTGTCTCACCCCTGGGAACCCCTCCGGTGCCCCGCTGCCTCATCAGGGCCTTGGCTGGGGTGTCCTTGGAGTCCCAGGACTTCTTGAGCTGTGGAGGGAAAGAGAGGGAGGTGAGAGAAGGCTCGGGGGACTGAGTCCAGGAAGGGTGTGTGTGTGTGTGTGTGTGTGTGTGTGTGTGACTCTCAGGGGAGGTGAGAAGGCCCCTGAGCCTCCAGAATGGGGAAGGGAAGTGATCCGGGAGGCCTGGGGCCCCCAGACCCTCAGAGGGCCAGCTGCTGTGTTCCCCCCTGCAGCTTTGCAGTTGGGGAGGAACAGGAAGCTGTCAGCAACTGCCTGGGGGGAGCAAATATTTGCCAAGGGAGGTGATGGTGGGTGAGGGCGGCTCAGGACCGGGTGGAGGCAAGAGGACCTTGCCCCTGCGCTGCCCATCCCCCTTCCCCCCTGGCCTGGAACTGAGGGAGGCGATTCCTGGGACATTTCTCCCTCACCCTCGGAAAAGGTCCCCACTAGGTCCCACGTAGCAGATGGGGAAACTGAGCCCGAGAGGGGCACAGGTCACAGAGAACCTGTACCCCGGGTCTGCCGGCACACAGGGCGAGGCTGCCTGCTTGTCCCACATGGCTCTGCTCTCACCCTGTCGACAGCCCACTTTACAGCTGAGGGCACGGAGGCTCCGCCCAGGGTCCCAGAGAATTAGGGCGGGCTCCATGGGAACCCCAGCGTCTCAGCAGCCGAGAGGAGGGGCACAGAGACCCCTTGGAGCTCGCCAAACCCCCTCCGCAACACCCGGACGACGCTCGAATCCGGGAAGCCAGGGGCAGAGCGTTTAAAAGCTGCACCGGTGAGGCCACGAGGGCCGAGTTCTGATCGCTCCCTCGTGCCTCAGTTTCCTCATCTGTGAAACGGGTGGGCGGAGGCTCGTAACAACAGCTACCTCAGAGGGTTTTGGCAAAGATCCAATTCAACCACCTCTGTGAGAGCCCCTGGCATGTGGCACGGTGCCCACAAGAGATGGTGGTTTTGACCTTGGGCAAGTTACTTGACCTCTCCGAGCCTCAGCTTTCCCATCTGTGACCACGAGTGAGAAAAGAGAATTACCTCACTGACCTGGGATGAGGATGTCGCGAAAGAAATACAAATAAATTCCACCGTGGGGATTTATTGTAATGCTTAATGTTCTAGTTAGTTCATCCTCCCCTCACTGACTCCTCCTTCCCACCAAACCGAGACTGGGGACAACTGCTGCACCCATTCGCTAGATGAGAACACGGAGGGTTCAGAGAAGGCAGATGTCTGCCCGGCTCTCCCCATTAGTGGGTCATGCCAGGATTTGCACCCAGGGTGGCTCTCGGGGTCCCTGCCCCCAGCCACCCAGCACTCCCCTGCCCAGCACGCAGTAGGACTATAGGAAATGGTCGCTGGGATCATGAACTCAGGTGGGCGCTTTTGCTTACCCCACCTCCACCCCCAGCCCCGGCCTGGGGCCAGGCACAGAGTAGGCCCTCAGCTGCCCCATCCCCTTCCTCTTGTTTCTCCGAGGCCAGCCACCAGCTCTCACCTCACTGTCACCGTCGCTGGAGCCGGACAGCTGGGACAGGCGACTCAGGTCCCACAGGGAGCGGCTGGGCCGGGCCGGGGTGCTGCTGGGAGTCCGGGCGCGCTGGACACTCCTCAGGATGTCGCTCAGCGCCGGCCCTGGGGCGGCCGGGGTCTCCTGCCTGTCCCCCTCAAAGACCCGGCAGGCAGCCAAGCGTCGGGCCAGTGGGCCGTCGGGTGGCGGCGGTGACATGGGGGCCACAGAGCGGCGGCGGGCCACGCGGTGGGGGTTGTGAGCCAGCTGCAACCCCCCCAAGGTGCTGACGAAGGGGCCCCGGGTGGGTGAGGACGGGAGCGGCCAGGAGGCCGCATACAGTGTCCGGAACTCTCGGCTGAAGGCATCGGCAATCTCGCCGGTCAGCAGGGTCACCAGACCGCGGTGCAGGCGAGAGTCGCTCCACGTGAAGCTGAGGGGCACGCAGTGAGGGGTCAGGATCTCCGTGCCGCCCCAGGGAACCCGGCCTGGACCCCATTACCGGTCCCCACCTGGTCCCAGGGCAGGCTGTGTGACCTCGGGCAGGTCCTGCAACCTCTCTGGCTTCAACATCCCCCTCGGTAGAATGAGAACCACCTAGGTACCTACCCGAGGGCTGATGTGACAACAAGTTAAGATACTTAAATTATCATCTGGAAGCCGGCCTGAGCTTATACCGGGACGCTGCCCCATCCCCAGCAAAGGAGGCATCAGTGCCTCAGTTTCCCTCTCTGAAAAGAGGTGGGATTAGTCTTCTGACTCCCACAAGGCCTGTCTTAAGACTCAGCTGCTTCCTATGTAATGACTGCCACTTATTAAACACTTGCCGCGTGGCGGGCTCTGGATGTGCCTGCTCCGAGCCTCAGTTTGCTCATCTGCGATACGGAGCTAAGATGGAGGAAGATTGGAAAGAGAGGACAAAGGGTTGAGCTGCCTGCATGGCGCCCGGCCCGCGCCCAGCTGGCTGTGCAGAGCAGGTCCCCTATGGTCCTGTCGTCACAGTGCTGGTATTTAAAGCATCTAGCTTTAAGGTCTGGGCACACAGCAGGTGCTCTTGGGAATTAAATGAACCTGGGCTGTCATCCTGGCTCTGGGGACCTTGGCCACGTCACCTTCCCTTCCTGAGCCTTCGTTTGCCCATCTGAAAAATGGGCCCAGCGCCCGGAGAACTGATGCATCAGCCACCAGGATGGTGAGTGTTGGTCCAAGCGTCCTTACCTTGGCGGGGTGGCAGCGTCCTCGCCCCCTGGCAGGTTGGCGGGCCCGTCTGCCCGCAGATTGTGACACCCCTCCCCCCACCTGTGACCTCACCCCTGGAGTGGCCAGTGGGAGCCCCGAGGGGTCTGTGAGGTCACCCCATTCCACTCCACAAAGAGTGCACGGAGCTCCCACGAGGGACGCGGGGCGTTGGGAACCGAGGACCGTCCGAGCGCTGACCCTGGGAGGCCCAGACCAGGGGCAAAAGTCTCGCGGGCCTCAGGAGCGTCATTCAGCAGTTCCGGGAGGCCCAGGAAGCCCACGGCCTGGCTTGGGCACCGTCCCCGCCGCCAGGCCACCATGGTCCTCGGCTGGCTGTTGCTTCTGGTAATGGCTCTGCCCCTGGGCACCACGGGCACCAAGGACTGCGTGTTCTGTGAGCTGACCGACTCCAAGCAGTGCCCGGGCATCCACATGCGCTGTGGCGATGATGAGGACTGCTTCACGGGCCAAGGGGTGGCCCCGGGCCTCGGCCCTGTCCTCAACAAAGGCTGCCTGGTGTCCACGTCCTGCGGCCACGAGGAGCTGGTCACCTACATGGGCGTCACCTACACGCTCACCTCCACCTGCTGCTACGGCCACATGTGTAATGGGGCCCCCAATCCCACGGGCAGCCAGACGGAAGGGGTCGCCGCCGGCCTGGCACTGGGCATGCTGCAGCTGCTCCCATATCTGCTGTGACCAACCCGAAGGGCAGGGCCCGGGACTGGTGTCCTGGCTCCGCTGCGCCCCGAGCCCCCCCGCCTCCCCCCCTCCCCCCCATTAAATGGCCAGAGGCCCTGGACAACCTCGTGTGGCCCCGGCTTCCTCCATTCCAGGGCTGTCCCCCCGGAGCCCAGGGCTCGGCGAAGCATCCTCAGGCCTGACTCAGTGGTGGGGAGCCAAGCTCGGTGGGTTTGGCTGGACCCCTCTACTGTATTTCATGGGTTCTAAGACGCATATCTTTTCACATGTCTATCAGGATGCTTCTTTTCGTCGGTGGCACCTTAGAGTCGATGAAATATGGTTAAAATGAGCAATGACGACAATAAACGATAGCTAACGTTTACGGAGCGCTGCTTCTGTTACGTGCCAGGGCACCTTGATCTCGCTGAACCCCCAAACAAAGCCGGGAGGGACGGTAGACGCGCTCCAAGACAGCCCCCGTCTCCACGGTAGTGATTCCCCCAAGTGTGGTCCCCAGACTGGCAGCACCAGCATTGGCCGGGAGCTAGCTAGAAATGCCAATTCTCAGGCCCCATCCCCAGCTGGCTGAGTGGGAGCAGTGGGGGGGGGGGGATGGGGGAGGGGAGGCGCCCGAAATCTGTGTTTTTAAGGAGTCCTCCAGGTGATTCAGACAGCAGGCAAGCCCAAGATTGAAAACCGCCAGTGGAGAGCGCTGGTAATCCCCTGGGCACGTCCGCCCCCCACCCCCAGGGGACAGTTGGCAATGTCTGCAGACACTTTTGGTTGTCCTAATAGGGGAAGGGGGCGTTGCTCCTGACATCATACAGGGTGGAGAGACCAGAGATTCGGTGCAGCCTCCTAAGATGCCCAAAGAAGCTCCCCCAGCACAGAACCATCCGGCCCCAAATGTGAGTAGCACCTCTGTCGAGAAACCCTGCTCTAGAGGCACTAACCGTATCATCCCGCTCTGTAGAGGAGGAAGGGAAGCACAGAGAGGTGAATTCAGCTGCCCAAAGTCACACAGCCTGTAGCCGGGCCACCTGACCCGGGAGTCTGCGTGCCTGCCCCGCACCCTCCCACGCTATGACCCTACGAGGCAGGTCTGTTAGTAATTCACCCTTTCCAGATGGGGAAACTGAGGTACGGAGCAGGGGAGGCACTGGCCCAGTGTGTCACAGAGCTGAGAAGTTGAGGAGCCAGGATCCAGGGTGGGTCAGACCCCAAGGACAGGAGAGGAGGGACTCGAGCCAGTCCGAGGGCCAGGTCCTTTGCATACCAACTCTTATTTCTTTATAGATGCTTAGAAAGGTGGAGTTAACTCAAGGCAGAGCTAGGACCCCAATCCAGGTTGTCCTGGTTTTGAAACCCACACACAAACTGTGGGCCCTGTTTCCCAGATGAGGAGACACAGGGTCGAAGAGATGACCCCCGCCCAGGCCACTAAGCTGGGCAGGCCTGGCTCATCCCCAAACGAGGGGCTCTGCCCCTCAGTACCTCCTCTACCAGTGAGGGTGTTTAGACCCATTTCACAGACCAGGAAAGAGAGGCTGGTAAAAAGGGACGCCGACTGCTCTACTGAGAGTTGGGGACAGGACACCGCGTGGTGGGGGAGGGGGCAGCCGCACCTGTAGGATCCGGAGATGACCCTATGGCCATCCAGCAGCACAAACTTCTCCCGCACACTTCCGCTCACCTGCCGTCGCCATCGGCTCTGGAAACTGCAGCCCCGCACAACACGGATATCTAGGTTCTGGAGTAGAGGGGGCACACCCTAGCTTGGGCCAACCCCGCACACCTCCACTCACTGCCCGGGGCTTGGTGGCGGGGGGATCCCTCCAGGCTGGTTAGGACCCGGATGGCCCAAGGCTCTGTAGAAAAGTCTGTCCCAGCTTCTCCAGAGCTACCAACATTGGGCTTTGGGGGTCTCTTGGAGATAGCCCTAACTCAGAGGGACCCCGTGGGAAGGCCCACCTCTAACTCCCCCAATGCCATGGGCATCGGATCTCAGAGGACCTCTCAGATGGCATCCACCTCGATGAGCTAGGACGCTGTGGAGGGGTCTGCCCCCCGCTGGTCCCAGCGCCAGGAGAATCAGGACTCGGGTCCCGCCTGCCAGGCTCCTACCTCGGTGGCCCAGGGGTTCACCCGCAGCTGCTGGGCCAGCGTCAGGAAGGCAGGCAGCTGCTGGTGGTCCAGGAGCAGGTAGACAGGCACCCAGCGGTGTGTCGCGGCATCGACCAGGTCCAAAAGCAGGTCTGGGTCAGTGAAGATGTCCATGACCACGGCCACTAGCTGGGGGATGGGGAGAGGGGCTGTGGATGGAGCCTGGAGCTCCGGGGACAGTCAGGGGCTGGGGCCCTGGGGGTGGGAGTTTAAAGGCCCGGCCTCGACGAGTCATTCAGGGGGGCTGCGGGAGAGACCCCCAGACATGCCCTGCTGCGCATACAGCACCTACATGTGAATGAGGAAAAAACCGCCCTTCCTGGAGACCAAGGACTCTACTGCTAGAAAACTCATCATAATCACATCTGCAATGGCGAACAGTGTCCCGTGCGCTGTGACACTGCATGGTGGCCCTGCTCCAGGGCTCAGCGGGCTGGGTCCTTGGAGGTGCCCTGGATACCGGGGGGCGGGGAGGGGGGCAGGATGATCTGCTTGGTCATGCAGCGGGAGCTCTGGGGACTGGGGGAGCTGCCGAAGGCCTGGATCTTGCAGGCAGAAACATGTAGCAGAGAGGACTCCTGACCCACTGGCCAGACAGCCTTGGTTCAAATCCCCACTCGGCCACTTACCGGTGAGAGACTTAACCTCCCGTGCCTCAGTTTCCCCATCTCTCCTCACTCGGTATAGTAAGTCCCAACCTCCCAGGACCCTCCTGGCAATTATAAATGTTAACCCGTGTAAGCACTTAGCACGGGAGCTGGCAGGCGCAAAGCTGTCAGATAAAGAACATGCTCTCCAGGGGGCTGTAGGGGAGACATCTGGACCCTCCGTGGGAGGGAGGATGGAGACACCTACCCTAGGGGTGGGGTGGGGTGCGGTGCGGTAGATGACTGAGACCAAGGGGTCATAATTAGGTCCAAGGGGCATGGATGCCCAGGGGGACCCAGGCCTTGGAGAGAGGGTGAGGATGAGGTCTGGGGGATGTGGACCCCTGGGTCCTGAGGGCTGCGAGGTGTGGACTCAGGAGTCCCAGGAGGGCATGGGTGAGACACCCGGGCCCCAGGGGATGCGCCACTCCCAGGTCCGGGAGCTGGTTTGTGAGGATGTCTGGGTCTGGGGAGTGGACACCAGGCCCCCCTGAGACCCCCACCTTGCAGGCGGCCTGGATTTCCTGGCGCACCAGCTCCTTGAGGGGCGGGTGGCCCTCGTCGGGGGGCTGGGTGTACAGCTGTGCCCGGGTGATTCCCTTCCAGGTTGGGTCCTCTGGCCAGCCCAGCCGCAGCGTGGGCGCCAGCTCGTCTGACCGTCCAGGCCAGTAAGTCAGGCTGCCCGAGGCCCCATCGGTGGCAGGGGCTCCCTCTGCTGCCCTGCTGGGCGGCTGCTTGGATGCGGTCCAGTCCTCAGCCGCCGCTGCCAGGCTCTGGAGCTCTTCCGCGCTCAGGAAGGGCCGCAGGCCCTCGCGCTGCACGCAGGCCTCGAACGCCTCGGCGCCCTTGCTCAGCAGAGCCTCCAGCGCCAGCCGCTGGCCCTCGGAATACAGGAAGCCGGGGCTGGCCTCGGTCAAGGGCAGCCCCCCGGCCCCCGACTCCTCTCCTTCCAGCGCCGCCAGCTGGGAGGCTGCCATTGGGCTGCTCGGGTGGGAGGACCGTCAGGCTGGGTGTCTGAGGATGCTGCCGTCTCTGGGGGACTGACCATCTGGGGGTCTCCTGCCAGGCAGACTCTCTGCGGCCGGCCGAGGCTTCCAGGGCCGCTCCGTGAAGGTCCCTGGGTCCCTGGCTCCCCGTCCTGACAATCACACTGTCCAGGGCATGGGCTGCTCAGACGGACCAGCCGCCTGCCTCCAGCCACCACAGTGACAGGCTGGTCATCTGAACTTCTGGCCGGCTGTCGCGGGCGGTCCTGCGTGTGTGTCAGGCTGACCCCCCGACTCCGTCCCCGGCTGTGTGACCCATCAGCTGCTCCTCTGTGCACTTCAATTTCCAGCCTCCTGGCCCCTGGCGGCCCCAACGGACCCTCTCGCTGGTTCGGTCTTGGTCAGGCTGAAGGCCCAGCTGGCCTGGCCAGAGGTCCGGCTGACCGGCCAACCATCTCCCAGGTAACAGCCACAGGCTGTCTGCCTGTCTCCTACCACCCGACTGTCCCTAACTAAAGGTAAAGTAGGCTATTTGCCCCTGACCGATAGCACATCCAACTGACCCTCTCCAGCGGGCTTTTTGATTATTTGGCAGACATCAACTGCTTCCAGCTAACAAGGTCGGCATCTGGCCACCCGGTGGAGCACCCCACCGTGTCCAGGGGAATGTTTTTCCTGCCGACGGGTGGCTGGCTCACCGGCTCTCACTGAATGACCATCCCAGGCACCTCCCCTTCGGACCTGCTCTCTCGGTTTGGGAAGAATGGGCTCCCACCCGAAGTCTGGGCATCACCCTTCCCCAGCCAGGGAATGAGATCTCAGTCTCTGTCGCTTGGGGACTCTGCCCCGGGGGTGTCACACCCACTTGGGCTTAGCTATAGTGGAAGATACACTCCACAGGGGCTTGCATCACCATGGAACCGGCCCATGACCTCAGCAGCCCATCGAGATGGAGGGCCTGACTAGCCACTGTTCCTTGGACTGGCTGCCCTGGACTGTCTCCTAGCCAGAATTGTCTTGGGCTGCCCTCTCATCTATGCTGATCCCTGGCCATCCCACGATCTCCTGCTAGCTGACCATCCATCCACCTACTCCTGGCCAAGGAGCACCCTTTGAGGCTCCTGACCCAACCTCTGGCCTATGGACCCCTGATCCCTGCAAACCAGCAGCCCTTCCTTCCAATCGCACACCCAGACGGCTTCCTTCCTCCACACCACAG